AAAATAAAAACAAAAATAGAATATAAAACCAACACAATTTTTTTTTAATTACCAGTTTAAAATACTCTTAAAATAAAAGAAATCTTGAATAATATAATATAATATAATATATTATAATATATAAAATACTATGCAAAAAAAAAAACATAAAAAGGTTTGGTGTCCTCCTAGGACTTTAAAAATAAATATGTTTTGGTTTTTAATTCAGTCTCAATCCGTGCTCGTGCAAAAACAATATTACCCTCTCTAAGGGTATTCAAAAAATACATAGCAATAAATATAACCAAAGCACATGGCGTGGCAGACACATGCATTTAAAAGGGGGGGGGGCCCCAACGAGAGGTTAAGAGAAATTCGGCGAGGGGTTAAGGGGTTTTAGGAGCTCTAGGGGGGAGGTACTACTAAATCATCTGTGCATGTATTCCAACACAAGTGTAGTTACATATGGATACATATGTACCTACATACACATGTATGCGTTAGCTGACCACGTTTGCTAAAAGCATTAAAGCAGCGCCAGCATTAATTAACGCTTAGCAAAAATCGAATCTGAGCTTAACCCCAAAAAGGAAAAAAAAAACACTAGCACACAAAACCCCAGAAAGAAGAGTGGCAACGCCGGGGTCATCCGGCTAGAGTGCGAAAGGGACAGCACAAGTTGAGACTGGCATACTAGCGTAAGAAACCGTTTCTTGGTGTGGCTATCTTGGGGTGGACTCTGTTCGAATAAAAGGAGAGGTCCCCTTAATTGTTTTTAAATGTGCAGCGAAGCAATTATACAAAACGCCACAAACACTCCAATTAATTTTGGGCTGAGTCGGGGTCTATTATTTCTTTAAAATTAAAACATAACACTATAAAATAAATATTATATAATTTTTGAAATCACTCATATTTTTTTTTTTTTATTTAATGAGTTGGACTTTGCAGCAAGAACATTTTAAAAGCACAATTGTAATCTAATTAAGCTGAGATTTATAATTAATTTTTACGTAAAAAGTTTTATGAATGACTAATTTTCTTAGGCTCTTTGCTAACAAAAAATAAAGTCTTGCAAAACAATTTTGGAATTTATTCTTTTTTTTTTTAACACTCCACTGCACCCTCTTGGTTCCGAAAGTTTTGGTCGCTCCATTTTCCCTTATTTCCGTTGCAAGGGGGCCCTTAGCATGGCCAATCTGAAGTCCACTCGCAAAAAAAAAATTTTCAAGGCGAAATGGACGCGCCAAAAAAAGGGGCCACAAAACAGAATCACGCACACACACAGAAAAACATATCCCCAAACATCCACACATACTCTTACGCATTAAGCTAAAGACGAAAGCTCCAACTCACACATACAGAAAGAGAAGTTGCGGTTGGACATACAAAAGTACAAGGGCAAATACAACAACAAACGAAAAGAAAAAAAATGGGCGAAAAAAAATAATACATAAAGTGAAGGAGGAGGAAACTCCAAGAACATGTGCAGAAACAACGGCGACAAAACGAAAGAGATACAAGCAACACATATACACACAAAAACTGTCGCTGTAGTTGTAAAAGTCGCCACAAAAAAAAGGGCGAAAAAATTCAGCAACTTGTGGAAGTTAAAGAGGGGGTGGCGGTGACCGACCCGGTGGGTACCGTGGGTGGTTGGGCGCACAGATGGCCGGCGAAAATATAAAAATGGAGCGCACGTCTGTGACAAAAACAACAAGCGGTGCAAAGAGACGAAAAAGAGAGCGGAAGGAGGCGGGAAGCAAGAGAGAGCATGAATGGGAAGTCGTCGTCTGCCAGTCGCCGCAAGAAGAAGAAGCAGCAACGGCGGAAGGAGAAGCCGTATGTGTTTGTGTGTGTTTGGAATGAGGGAGTGGGAGCGGGAAGGTAGACCTGGACCGTAGTTTGAGTTTTTTTTTTTTTCGTGGCGTTGCGTCAGCTTGAGTAATTTTTTATTTCTCAGCAGCGGCGGCGGCGACTGCGACAGCGACGACTTGAGCGCAAAGCAAGTTGAGCATTTATTTGCTCAAGCGGAAACATGGAGGGGGTGCAGAGAGGTAAGGGCGTTGTGCACTGTGCTGCCCGCCACTGTAATGTGGTTGCTGTCTCCGCTTAAGTGGTTTCTGTTTAAATAAGTTAATGTTAACACTTAACAGCAAAGCCGGATGTCCGCTGTAGCAGACTTAACAGGAAACTTGTTTTTTTTTTTTACTAAATATGTATGCTTTAATTTACATTACATTTTAATTGTTCCAAAATTAGTTTTTAATATTTTTAACCATTTTTGTATAGAATTAAAAAAATTCAAGTTACAACTTTTTTCTATTCTTTAAAATTAAATTTTTTCTGGACTAAAAACTCCTTCAAAAGGGCTTTCTAAAACTATTTTGAAATTGACAAATTGTTTATCTCATGTAATTGCATATTAATTATTTATTCACATTTTAAAATAAAAAATAAAGGTTGGAATACAATTTTTTTATTATGCAAGTTTAAGTCAAGGATAAAAATAATCTATCTCTAATAGGCGCTCTTTTAGATACTTTAGTTGCATCCTTTAGATACTTCACGTCACCCACTGACTTTATTCTGACCGCAAACTAAAATTAAACCCTAATTACTGCGAGGAATCGATAAAATCGCATGGAGAATGCAAATCAATATCAATTACCCATTTGCAGCAACAACGAACCATATCAATATACATACATACATACATTTGTATGTACATATATAGTTATAGTGAGAGGCACATTTTCCCGATAAATGTTTAAAGGTAATAATTGTGTATGTGGCCCGGAGCAATCGTCAATCGTCAATCGTCGTCGACAACAAGAGTTAATGAAGCACACAAAATGACAATTACAATGGGGGGGCGTTGTCGTCACAAACACACAACCGAAGCTTGCACGTTGGTGCACTGAGCGAAAAATTGGGTTTATCATTAAAGTTTTTTTTAGATAGTTTTATTCTAGAATCTAGATAATTTGACCCGCATATCTTTAACCTTCCTATGTAATTAACTGTTTAAGGAAAACAAAACTACTCTAGGAATTATTTAAGATACATATTTTTTATAAGTACACATTGTAACCTTTAAATAGGTTTTTTTTCTAATACCCATTAGCTTGAATGGCAATTATTCAAAGGAGCTTACATATACATATTACATAATAATAATAATAATGTAATATGATTATAATTATAATTAAACTAGTCTAAAATGTTGAATTTAAATTAATAAAAAAAAAATTAATTGACGGTATTTAAAAATAATAGCTTTATATTAAATAGAAGTTGCAAGTTTATTTATATAGCTACATAAAACTATAATGTAGGTTATAAAAAATCTCAAAATATACCCTTTAAATCCCTAACTAATCTTTTATCACAAACTAGTTTAATTATTTTAATTTAATTACTCTTAAATTTCTCTCAGTATACTAGGCAAGTGGGTGGTATTCAAATACGAGAGAATCCGGGGGAAAATGAAAAAAGAGGTGGCTACAGAGGGGGTGAGGGTGAGCTAGCTCTAGGCCCCGATAACAGCGCGACCCTGGCAGTGCTCGTACATACAACGACAATCCCGCCGCCACCTCTATATTTGTGTGTTCAATTTAGAAAAGAACAACGTTCGTGGTTTTCGGCTAGCTCTACTGCTATTTGATGCTATTCGTTTGTTGACACACCAATTAAGGGAGGTGGTAATTATGGGTGCAGGCAGGTTGGGTGTATCTGGTAAATGCTGCTGTGCAGTGGATTCCAAGCGATTCGGTTGTATTTACAACCAGAGATTAGACTGTTTTTGGAGTTTCTTTTGGAATTCTTAGCTATTTTAAACAATAAAACGTTCAATTAAGCTTTTATATATAATAACATTATTTGGCGTCAAGGCACCTTTTTAAAAAACCAGGACTGAACACCAAGCTTCAAGGTCAAAGGCTGAAGACAGGAAACTGCCTGACATCGAAGGGAATACCGACCTTTGTAAACTTTCAATGCGATCAAAAACAAGATATTCTTGTTAAATTAATAGGAAAAATACATCTATCGATCGTTTTTATGGTAGCTATATAATATAGTTGTCCAATTTTCATAAAATTTATACCAAAATTCTGTAATATTAAAAAAGGCTCATATTTCAAAGTAGATACGTTCAAAAACAACGAAATTACAATTTTATTTTATTAATTCCTCGATCGTTCCTATGGCAGCTATATGAGATAGTTGTCCAATTTTCATAAATGCAAATTTCTGACTGAACTTATAATAGACAGAAAGACGGCAAAAATGCTACAACGACAACAAATCACATCTGTTTTCGGCGCACTGAAGATCGTTCGTATCCAGGAATACAAAATGCACATTCTAGTTACAATAAATGTGTAGATTTTGTTGTTGTACTTTTGAGAGCGCTCCACTTCTTGCTTAAAACTTTCACTAAACAACATTTATAATTAAATAGTTCTGCTTTTTTATTATATTTATCGCAGTTTAAAAAACAGAAAGTGTAAAAATTGGTTTGTAATTATCACCAAATTAAAAATGTTATTAAAAATAAATAACAAAACTAAAAGATAAAAACCGTATAAACTTTGATTCCATTTTAATGATGTAATTAATCGTTTATCTTAGCTAATGTTGTATTTCATTTTAAGTAGATCAATAAAAAGATTAGAAACAATAACATGTTATCAGTTCTGAGATAAGGAGAAAGCTCCTATAGAGACCCTGCTCCTAGTTTTCTTATTCACAGATAAACATTTATAAGTCCTTATAATGAGTAGATTGTATACACTTCCAAAGACAATTTTTACAATTAAATGGAGGTTACAAGATTTCTTCGTAAAATGAATATTGAAGGGTGACTCATCTTATGATATAAAGATTGTAAATATTTCCTTTGAATTAGAATAAAAGTGAACTATCTTCATTTTGCGTTCTTTTGATACATTTTCCTAATTATAAACTAATTCTAAAAACTAACTAAAAGTTAAGCTTTATGCCAGATTTTAGCTCACCTGTAGTTCCGATTCGGTGACATCAATTTCTCCGCGATAAACAAAATCAATGATGGTTTTCAGATCGGTGAAGATAATGTCGGCGGGCAGGATGATTGTGGGATGTTTGCACGGGTTCTCCAGTAAAAGTTTTTGGAAATACGTTGAACAGGCGGACAAAACAACCTAAAACAATGAAAGGGTGATTATTAGTACCTCAAGTTTCGATATATGTATATTTCACCGATACTTACCTTGTGCGCCTTGAGGGATCCGTGTTCGCAGGACAGGGTGACATCCACAAAGGACAGATCCTCGCGTAGCTGCTGGAACACCGAAGTCATTGTGTTCTGATAGTTGTTCCAGCGCAAACTGAAGTACTGATGTCCTCGTACTGCAGCCATTTTGATGTATTTGAAATCTTCTTCGAGTTCCTGTTGCTGATTTTTATTTTCCTTTATTTTGTGTTCCTTGCGAGATGCTCAACAATGGCTCAACGGCTCACAGACGTCTTTCCTCGTCCTGGAAAAGCAAGAGATACTATAGGTAAATCAGATTTATTTAGAGATTGTGGCTGGGAAAATCAATCAATACAAAATCCAAAGAAGCGTCGGCATCCTCAGCTTGCTATTGGTTCCTTGCGAATTGCCGTTCCAGATGCAACTGAACAGAACAGAACTGACACGGAGCCACCACCACCAACCACATGTTGAAGATGTAATAAAAAAAAAAGGAGTCGCTGCAGTCCGTCGTCGCTCGGTCCATTGTGTCGAGAGCTTTACACCGGATTGCAGGGCATTGGGGGGCGAGAAAAGGTGGAGGCCAAGGAAGCGGGGTATTATTGGGTGGAGCAACAACTATTTCCAAGACAGGTAGGAGAATATCTGCTATCAAGTTGGTCATGGTCGAATAGTTGGTGACCTGTGCAAGATTAACGCTATTTTCAAGGATTCTAATAGAGTTTGCACCGCTTAGTTGCAGGTAAAGATATCAATTAACGTATCTAAGTCTGATTTTAAAAATTTAAAATAATAAATTACATGTGTTAAATATTTCCTTAAACTTTTACTTTTTCAATAGAATAGAAAAACGTTCAATCCTTTAGTTCAGGCTTTAGAGAGGTGGCAAAAATGCTTCAATCCCGTGATCTTGATTTGGCAACATACGTTATGGGACGTTAGTTTCTAAACTATCTATCAATGTAATAATTTAGGGACTATTTTTTGAAATCCAAAATATTCTGACTATTTATTTTGCTAAATGAATCAAGCTGTCTATCAAATACTGATCGCTAGCTCTTATTTATCTCACTCAAAATTTGCCTAATTCTTCACTTAAATCCTCTAAACTGCTTTTATTTCCACTATATTCTATGTGTCGCGTGCTTTTTAGCCCTGGTGCTCTGCTCCTGCTCTCCAATATCCGCCAATTCGAAATAGTTTTGTTTTGAGCATTTTCATGTAAAATGTTTGGTCAGACCGAAACCGAAACCAGTTTTTCAGCGAAGCCTCTTTTATTTTCTTTTTTCAATGGCACGTATTGTGCTGCCTGCGAAGAGTTGTTTTTGCTAGTTGGGGGCATTGTCAAAAAAAAAAAACATAAAAAAAAGTAATAGGAATGCTGAAAGGATGCTGCTTCTTGAGGAGGCACAACTTTCCGTGCAACTAAAATGGGAGGCAGGCGAAGCGGAGGTTAAAATGCAACCACAACTTGATTCCGACCAAAGGATAACAAAAAAAAAAACTGAAGCTTAAAGCTTTTAAAACATGAGGAATTTTACGAGATTTTTATTTAAACAAAGTCCAACAACAGGAAAACTTTATCATAAATCTATTTGAATATAGTTTCTAAGTGAAAACATCGTAGTACAGCAGATATACAAAGTATCGTATATCATTAGGTATCAAAAAATTAAATAAATTAAAATTTTAAACTTTCCCAACATAAAAACTATTTAATTATAAAAATATAAATGCATCTTAACATTAATTCACAAATCCATCGAAAATATTTTTGCCAAATATTCTAAAATATGTAACTTAAGTTCCCTTCCTTCTAGCGTAAGTTTTACTGTAATTGCATTTCGGGGTTCTTGTCGAAGATTCGCAATCAAAACAAAAACGGCGTGCGGAAAGAAGCGCAAAAGGAAATGAGAAGAAAGAGAAGAAGGGGTTGCCACCCACCCAAAAATCGGAAGTTCCCCTCCCGCTCCCGCTGACGACCACTGTTGTTTCCCGCTCTTTGTATTGCCCAAAGAGCTTACCATCAATCGGCCATTATGCGGCATGTTTGGTGTTGTTATTTTTGTTTTTGTTCCCGTTGTTACATTACTTCTTATTTTTCACTATTTTTCCTATTGTATTGTTATGCCCATGTTGCTTTGCGTCTCTCTCTCTCTCGCACTCACACATGTTTGCTCAGATTTGCCGCCTTTTGGAGCCTTCGCTTCCTCTTCTTCTTCTGCTTTCCACTGTTCGTATGCCTTTGAGCGTGATTATTTGGCAAATGGGTATGTGTTTGAGTGTTTGGCTTTTTCACTTTCCATAGCCTTCCGATATTCCATATTTAATTATCTATAATTAGCATATGGATGTATTATCCCAAAAATATTAATCATGAATCTAAAACAGAATCTATTTAGACATTTGAATATGTATCATATTTTATATTAATTTTATAATAATAAATAAATAACTCATTGATTTAACGTTGATCAATTGACAATTTTATCATTAAATGAGGTTCTTATGATTTTTTTTACTTTTACATTTCAAAAGAGTTCCAATTTGATTCATAACATTTACAACAAATTATTTAAATTGCTACTTTTTAACTCATTAGATGTATCTTTTTTAACTAAAATAATTTAAATAAAACGTATACATTCCTCCTATTAAACTTTGTTAATACTTTACCCATGTACATCTATTTTCATTTAATGACAAACATTAAAGCCTCTCTACCCCATAATAAATAAGCCAATTAGTATTATTATCTAAAGCTTTGCAAATAGCAACATTGTAAAACATTTAAATAAAATGTATTTAAAAAAGTAGCTGCTGTCGACGCAGTACAAAGATAATCTGAACAATATGAACAAATTTAAAATAATATTTATTGCTAATTTTTCTATAAACTAACTAATTAATTGGCTATCGATCATGGAAACCAATTTAGTTAAAAAATTAATTTTGAGATACAGATAGGCTTCGGAGGTCGGTATGCCAAAGAAAATATTAAAAAACATATAACCAAATGTACATATAATCCATTTATCTAAATTAAAGCCAGTTCAATGAGTTCAAATACAATATGTATCGATTTTCTGCGTTAATTATTTTTGTACAGGCGGTTTATTTTTAGTTATTTCAGATACGATGCTCGGTATAGGTAGACAAATTAAATATTTTTTGAAATCTCAGTGTAATTCACTAGTAAACATGTGTGATTTGACTGGCGATAGTGAAGCGATTGTACCGAAAATTTCCACAGTACATCATATAAAGATTGCCACAATAATAACGTAATCCGCTTTGTGACCTGTCACATCACTTTTGACCCACTGTCGCGGCTCCAGGCAACTTCGTTTTCGTTGCGTTTGCGTCTGTTCTCTGCCTTTCGGACCATATGCATGCGAGCAAGCGAGACAGCTGTTGGGCTCACGTTGCGCGGGGGCGATGAAGAAGAAGAAGAGGGACGAGGCAGAGAAGGCGCAAGACAAATGACAGCGGCGCTGCGAAATGAGTGGTGGGTGAAGGAGAGGCGAAAGAAAATGGATTTTAAACATTTTTGTTTTGATTATTATTGTTCTTGTTCGTCGCAAAAGTTTGCGAAGCGGAATGGGTAAGGAGAGCGAGCGGGAGAGCGATAGAGGGCCATAGGGAGAGCGAGCGCAAAGGCGAGCGGGCGAAGATGTGGGAGTGGGAGCGGGATAGGTGCAACCCCAATGCAATGTAATGCAAATGTAATGCTGAACAATTGCATTTGCCAATTGAAACCAATTGAAAGGTTTGCAGTATTTTTATTCCCCCCTTTTTTCTGTATTGTAGATCACTTTTTCAAACAACTCTTATTTTTATTTTTAGTGCACGCTCGTCTTGTTTTCTTGTTTTTTTTTTTACCTTTTTTCTATTTATACTGAATTTCTGCTGCTGCAATTTGCCGCCTGCCTGCGATTTGTTGCTCTTTTGCATAATAATAGACAAATACGTCAACGAGTTTTATGTTCGTATTTTTCGTGGATTTTCACGTCTTACGTTGTGTTTGCCGTTGTTGTTATTGCTGCTTTTGTACTGCATGCGTATTTACCGCCAGTTTTTATTTGTATTTGCAGTTGTAGTTGTTTCTGTGTGTTTATTTCGTCTGTTGTTCACCTTATTAATTTGGTTCGCTTTTATTTTTATTTTGCTAGGCAGCTATTTGCATTTCGCTCTGCCTTCTGCTTCTTCGCTCGCACACATCTACAAACTCGCGCACACACGGACACACACACTGGGAGCACTCGTCGCACGCACGCACGCACACGTACATAAGCGATTGGTTTTTCATAATTCGCAAAAACTTAATTTTATTCTATTTGATATACTGGCTGCTGGCATGCTGTCGCTGCATTCGGGTTTCCATTACCATTTTGCTGACACTGAACTTTGGCCTCTGCATGGCGATTTCCGCGATTTACCCACGCTTTTCCGCACTTTTTCACACACCGCACACGCACGCAGGAGAGGAATTTCGCTGGCAAAACGGAATTTAAAATAATAATTATTTTTTCAGCTCTTCGTTCATCGGAGTGCTCGTGTTCGCCATTTTCGTATGGTGCTGCCAGACCACCGGAGTGCGGGTGCAAACTCGGCAAAAGTTAATGAGACTATTAAGTACCGTTTCTGGGTGGCCTGCATGGCTTTGTGTTTAGCAAAAATCTTGTATTTCATAATTCCAGTTTTTATTTTGCTGTGAAATCGTGGCTAAAATTGTATTTTCTTGGAAATCTTTAGCAAGGTGGCAGCTCTTTATCGGTTCTTCTTTGCCTCGCCACTTGTTCTAGCTAGTTGTCTCGCTCGCACTGAGGGTGCAATGCCATATTGATTTTTTTCTCTACGGACTTTGTGAGGCGCGCGAAAAATACCAAAATTTGAATAATGAAAATATAAAATAAAATAAAATTTAATAAATAAATATCTATTTATATCGGGTCAGTGTAGTTTTTATAATCTAAGGAAAGGCAGAAATAAAGATGCATAGTTAGAAAATTTATGTAAAAAAAATTTTTGATATTAAATATGTTCAGATACAAAAAGATGAAAACAAAAAACTATATAAAATGAAAGTAATTTAGAAAATATTATATGTAACTAAAAAATTCTTAAATTAAATAGCGAAAACTTAATTTTAAATAACGAAAACTGCTAAACAATTCTATAGAGTTGCCAGATAGTTCAACAGAAAAGCGAAAGCTAATTGCTGCGAAACCCGTTATATCGATAGACCTAAACTCTGCCATCGATATATGGGCGCCCTTACCGCTTGAAATTTAAAATATGCATGGGCCAATTTAAACTCGATCATTACATTAGTTTTAGAAACCCGCTTAATGCTCATGTGCTTGCAAGTCATGGAACTTTATGTATTTATAATGAGCAAATAAATATTCGCCACTCGAAGCCGGAATTTGCATAATGAAGGCGAAAACCATTTCAAATGAGTTGCACTTTTTCCGCTGCCACTCAGTGGGGGTGGGACCCCATAAAAAAGTGAGCAGAAAACAAACAAAAGCCATCGATCGCCTGGCATACAAAGCGACTGATTTTGCAGTGAATCTGACGGATACATAGATACTACGGCCAGCAGTGGCTGTATCTATGTGCGGGGCGTACATTTGCATTGTGGATGCGTGGAGCGCAGAGCTAATAGCTAAAATGGAGAACTTACGTGCCAATTGACATTCATGAGTCCCAAGGCCGAAAGCATTAAAATAATTGCATGTTCTCTGGGCTCCAGCGGCGACGGCGGACATAATTGTGCCCCGCATGATCATCGAGTCGTTTCCAACTTTCCAAAGCGGAAAAATCGATCAAAAAAGGGGGAGCTGTGCTTTACACATATAATGGGGTTTTCCGCGAGGTCGTTCCAGCAATTGACGTGTACTATATAATACACTCACTCGTATGCTGTATATACTATACATACATATAATTATAGCCGCACATAGGGCAACCCACCAAGCCCACCCCACCTCTACTCCACTCGAATAACCCCACCACTCACATCGGGCTACAAATACTATATACTATATGTACATATATGTGAGCTATATATTCTGACATACATTCTGTATGCATGTGTTTATTTTGGGCGCCTGCAACTGGCGATGAATTTAGCGGGGAAGAACCTTATATCGTGTCACGAGGTTAAATTAATTTAGTCAAGTGCTAAGCTCCCAGGCTGTAATTTAAAATAAAGAGGGGGGTTTTGTTTTCATTATTCGTTTTCTTTCTCTATGTATGTATGCACATACAATTTATTGGTTATTTAAAGGCATTATCTTAAAGCTAAACGAAGTTACAATAAAAGGGTATTATATAATAATAAAGTAAATACTTAAGTAGTGAGTAAGTTTTAAAAGTTATTTTAAGAAAAAAATTAAAATACTGAAATTTAAAAAAATGTTTATTTTTACTAACTAAAAGCATATCTTCATTTAATATATATGTTAAAAAAAAATAAATAAAAGAAAACATATGTATGTACATATGTATACGTATAAGTTTTTAAAAGGTAGAAAAATAATATTAATTTTGTTTAATATCAAAGCTTTTTTAAAACATTGCAAGTTTTTTTTTCCGTATTATTCTATTCTCTCCGGTAAACGAATTTTATTTGCAGCTTAGGAGTTAGAGTTTCTCATTTAAATAAACAAAGGTAATCAACATATTGATTTAATATTCCCCCCCAAAAATCAGTTACTTAATTGCTGCTTTGTGCCATCTCTAACACACATACACGCTCCCACAATTAGAGAGGGACAAACAAAAGCAAACAAAACAAAAGATCCCCCAGAACAACAACAAAACCATTCGGCTATGCTCAAGTCTCGGTTCGTTTCTCATTCGTAAATTGTGTTTGTTTTTGCTGTTTTTTGTTTTTGGGGTCGAAATAAAAAGCATTAAGTACGTACATAAATGGAAAATGGTTAAAATTATGATTAAATTAAAATTATATATGTATGTAGTTGCAAATTAAATTATGAAATTTCCAACAAAAACATTTAAACAAAAAATTATTTAATAAATATTTTGCTTTTTTTATCATTAATTTAAATGACATACAAAATCCAATTAAATAAATAAATGATATTTCCAAGTAATTACTAAATAAAGAAAGGAAATTAAACAAAAGTTCAACTTAACTTTTCAGAAAACCGAAAAGAAAAGCAAATTAAACCAAAGGAAAAGCTTTATAAGAATCAGTTTAGAGTTTTTTACAAAAATATTGCTCTCAATAACAAATTTTAAATTCTAATTCTAAATTCTAAGCCATAAAATTATTAAAAAAAAAAAAAAAACTAAACTCAAATAAGGTCTAACTTTGAGTTACATATGTACATAAATACATATACATACATACATTGTACATACATACATACATACATACATATAAAGGTAACACAAAATTATATAAAACAAGTCATATAAGATCAATAGAAAACTACCTTTTTACAGCCAGTCAATCTCTTTACCTAAATTTTAAGCTTATTCATATTAGAATAAATTGTATATTTTTAAATTTAATGTTGAAGTCAAAGAAAATCTCCTAAAAATCATTTAATATAGTAAACGATTTTTGAAAATTCAAGATCGCTAATTTTGGGACCTAAAAAACCACTGATGGAACAGTAATGATCCATAAAACTTACAATTGGAACAACGAAAAAAAAATGCTAATGAGCAATCACGGCAGCCCACTCAAAGAAGAAACAACAACAAACAAAAACTCCTGTTTTTGGCAGGGAAAAGCAGCAGCAACAACTACGGATAATAGAAAAAACAACAACAACAACAATCAGTTAACAAAAGCCACAATTTACAGAGCGATTGACGTCATTGGAAGGTTTAGTTGTTGTTGGTTTTTTTTTTTTGTATTTTCTATGGAAATGTTTATGTAAGTCTGTGGGCAGAAAAAGCATGTGTGTGTGTGTTAGTGCGCGTGCTGGGCGACAAGTGCAATGCATTTCTTGAATGGTGCGCATGCACTCGCACCCCCTAACGCCCCTCTACCTTTGGAAAAAATCCCCAACTAACAAAGAGAGAGAGAGCGAGGGAGTCGGAGAGCTTTTATGAGTGTGTACTTTCCGCATGTGTGTGTGTGTGTGCTTAGCAATTTTCATGTCATAAGTGCATAAAAATTGCAAGGCCCTGAAAAGCGGTTCGCTTCACATGATAGCCATACAAACATTAGATTTATCAGTCAAGCGCTCGCTCGCTCTCGTTTTCGCTCTTCCTCTCTCTCACTCTCTTTGCCTCTCTCTGTCTCTTTCTTATTATCTAATGTTCACTTTGAGGGTTTTTTTTTGCAAAAAAAAAGTAAGAAATATAAAATATAACCTACTCTAGAACTTTTTTTTTTTCATTTTGACTTATGCACACAAGCGAAGATAAAGTGTGTTTGTAAAAATGTAGGTTGTAAAATTAATAGTTATTCCCTTATATAAATGTACATATGTATATACAAATGTACATAACGATGTATAATATAGTAAGAATATTCCCTAAATATATTAAGTGTATTAATGTACTATGTATATTTAACATTTTATATAATAAATTGCTACAAGATCACTTCTCAGGGAGGTTTTTGATAAAGTTTTTGAAATCTCTCCAAATTTTGACTAAAAGTATGCAATACAACTTGTGAGGTACATAAATTAAATGAACATTTTTTAATGGTTTTAAAATCTTTTTTCATATTTCTTGTATCTTTTCCAGTTTAATGGATTTACAGTAACAATATATACAAAATGTTAAAATGTACATTTTGATTTACCCAATAAAATAACTATATATACAAAAACTTTGTTTAATTAAAACCATATCAGTTAAAATGGCTAAAATTATTATACAGTATCGATAAGAAATGCAGTTCACAGGGTAACTATCCAAGTTATAACTGATTGAGACCTTTGGTTATTCAAGGGTTGAGTTCCTGGTACTAATATTATCACCTCATATGTGGGTATGTACTGGGCTTCGGCTATCTCGGCTATATCTCACATTCTGGTTGCAGTTTTCCGTTGACGTGTATTTCACAACGAAGCCCTTCAATGGATGCACATGCAGCCCCCCCTTAGGTGGAGGAGACCCCCCAGCACACATGGAAACTAACTCGAAGGTAAGAGAGCTAGCCTCTAGAATTATCCACGTGCATATGCACATACTACATTTTAGCTATGTATGTATGTTTGTAAGCAGGCAGGTAGGTAGGTCTAAGTACATAGCTGCGACAGGTGTTGGCTTTTTAACAACCTGCAATGCGCCCGCCCTTAAACGTGTCGTCCCATGCGTTGACATTCAGCTGGACTACAAAAAACTGGCTTCTAACATCGATAAGATTTCCGATAGATTGAAAGATTATTGAGTAATTGAAACGATTGAAAGCAAACACAGCGATTGTTGGAAATTTACAATAATGGTCAATTAACACAAAGAACGTTTGTTGAGGAAGGCACACCTTTGAAATTGACGACTCAATCAATTATTAATGCAATTCAGCGTTGGCTGAATAAATCTCGGGGACGAAGCTTTTATATTTAAATATTTAACTATG